GCATCAAATTGGAGGCGATTACGGTAAAACGAGCGTCTGCGAATGGGATGATGAGTTTGGATTATAACAAGCAAGGATCGGCTGCAGCGGCAGCAATTGGCCAAATATGTTCAGGGCCGAGCGGAAGAGCGCTCCAGCCGCAGTCACTCCTAGCGCTGCTAATAACTGCTTCTCTATTAATCGCTTGCTTGGAGCATCTGTCGCTCTCACGCCGAAACCTGCGCCGAACGAGGAACAAGCTTCTGGAACTGTCCCGAAAGATCCAGAACCTGCTGCCACGCAAATTCCGGGGAAAGAAGCAGCTTCCAGCAGCGGCATTAAATCGAACAGTGAAGGAACCAAAACTGAGAACGATCTGCTTGCCGCGCTGCATGCTACTACACGATTACATTCTGTTCCGTCAATACCGCTGAATCAGGATGCCACATCAGCTCTTAATTTCCCAAAGTCGATGGGCAGTAATGGTTCCATTTCGGATCGGAAGTTAATGGGCTCCAGTGCTGAACTCAGTTTCGATGAAAAAGCTTTGTTATCAAGTGCTGAAGCTTCAATACCGCTTTGGCTAAACTGTGCGGCTACAGCCGCTGCACTACCATTCGAACAAAGTTTCCTAATGGCACAACGATCTGGTAAGCTTACCCGTTAATCAGCTTATCTGTACAACTTCGAATTCACTCATCTGTAGTTTTTTCGTTCCGACTGTATGCGGAAGCACTAAGAAAGGAAGCATAGCTTTCTGCATATCTAAAAAAATTTTGAGGAGATAGGTAACGAACGAGAGCACATATGCGCTTTTTGAACATTTGCATGCTAAGAAAAAAAAAACAACAGCTGACCCGCTAATTTCTTCCAGTCGTAGAAAAAAGTGATATTCAAAACTGTGAATGAAACTGACGCAATGACGCTTAGACGAAGATGCAAAGGCACACCGAAGGAAGTGGTTTCTTAAGATCAGTGCAAAATCAGTCACCAAGGATAACAATCGCAAAACTGTTGTGGGGATCCGATGTTAGTGTTGTTACTAGAAAGACCCAGCATGCTATTAAAGTATCAAATTGATGCGAAATGTTTAATTCAATTTTTGGTTATCTGGTTCCCGTTGTAACATTTCTCTGCTGATTTGTCTGTCGCTTCCGATTTGAAAATTAATCTGCATCGATTTTTCACCTAAATGCCTGCTAAATTTGTTTTTTGCCATTTCGTCATTTTCCCTTTTTTAATAGTCAAAAATTAAGTCTTAAAATTATTTTTTCGACCAACTTCCCCTCCCACATTTATTAGCAACAAAAAGCAGTTTTACTGTTAAGGTGTAACCCCTACCTTCACGCTTATGTTGCGGAATCCACTATCTGGCATCATACACATGCAGTTGTCCCCTCTAATTTACTTAGCCCAGGCCTAGTCAAACAATGCATATCAAAGGCTGCTAGTCAGCGACCCTCA